AAAAAAAAAAAAAGATCTGCATGCAGACTGTTGCTGCTTTCGTGTATCCACATCATTTCCTCTGAGCAGCGGCCTCGTTCCCACTTCACGTGGTCCTAGGTGGGCTGCCAGGTACAACATTCCAGGCCTCTGCAAATCATATCACCCATTCTACCCTGAGACACAGCAGCTGATGCAAGGGAAACTATGTGACCCGATAGGAGCCAAGTCCCCAGAATGTTAAAGAAGTTGGGAGAGAGGCCATCAAACAAAGGGACGCTGTGCTGAGGGAGGGAGGCAGAGCCCCCCAGATCCAGCCCTTCTTGAGGTCTTGCCCACCCCTGGACTTCCTGGGCATGTGAACAAATGCATTCCTTTGTCTGCTTAACTAATCCAAGTCAGACTTCTCACTCAAAATCCAAAAGGTCCTCACTAATGTAACATACTTCCAGATTTTCCGACTGTCCTCAGAAATATGCATCAGCAACTCCCAGAGGGCACAGGGCACTGGGCATTGGGATCCACGGGTCCCCCTCCTAGCTGCAATCTTAGAAGTCCTAAGCCATCCCTCTGCCAGGTCAGAGGGCCTTAGAAATGGACACGGGATGTAACATCATTTCTCGGATATGTGTATGCCTTCTGTGATGCGCACAGTACACGCTGGACTTGCTGTCCTGAGTTCTACATCTCCCTGTCCTTTGGCCTGTCTTGGGGTAGAAGCAAGACAAAAACCTTATGCTGGGACACTGATGGTATCGAGCTGGGGAAAAGACCACATAGGCTTAACGGCTGGGCCCACAATACTGATAATGCTTGAGAGAGTGAGCTGGCCACTCTGGCAACCAGTCTGGTGCCAGGGTTGGACCCCCCGCCTACCAGTGGGCCCAAGCACGGCCGACATAATGAGGGGGAGAAATATAGCCCAACGCCCCCCTCCAAGTGGCTGCAAAATTACCCCTTTGGCGAAGATCCATTGTTTTTCCTTCTTTGTTTTCCAAAAGATACCTCTCTGAACCTGTCTAAACTCTGCATCACTAGATTCTTCAACTGTCACCTGAAGTGTTAGCTATGACTCAGAGTTTCCTGCGAGAAACTCTATAACCTCCCCCTCTCCAGAGGAAAGGACCTGACTGAGGCCTGCCCACACCAGCCAAAACTCTGTGCCAAGTGGCTGGGAGACGCCTTAACGCCGTGTGAACTGCGCGCTTCCGTGTGTTTGCAGGTACTGATAAATAAGCACACTTCTTTGCTGTCTCAGTTCTTCGCAGTTTAACTTGGCTTCCTCTGTTTCAGACTGATGGGAACTGAAGTCAGTTCTTAAGACCCACAGGGGAGGAAAGCTCTTTGTGTTAAAGGCGGTCCGCCAAGGTGCTAATTCCATCTTCAGTAGGTTTTTCCCAGGACTGTGCTCCTCATCCAGGAATTTTCTCTGAGCTTGGTGGTTCCCGCGTCCAAATTCCAGCTTTGAATAAATAAACCAGCCAAAGTGCTCGGGCGCCTCAGGGAATAGCAGGGCGGTTTCTGAACCTCCATCGCCCCCCAGTGGCAAATCTTTTTTTGTCAGGGATATTCTTACTCAAAAGGCTTACGAATTCTTCCCTCCGAAGTTGTTTTTCTTTTAAAAAAAAAAATTTTTTTTTTTTAATTCTCACACTGAAGATCATGAAAAGTTTGTGTGGGGTGTGTTAGTAATGTCAAACTAATAGTTGCTGGGTCACGGGGTCACAGATTCATGCAATTGACAAGAAATATGCAATTGGATAGATCTCACCAAGTGGGGTGCCCCTTTAAAAAATTCCTACTTATCATAGCTGCAAAGTCCAGTATGAAAGTGATTACCTCAAATAAGTTTTTTTTTATTTAGAGGATCCAGACCTGGGTTTCCATTTTTTCTGGTCCAATTAAACTGCTACTAATAACTATGACTTTTGGGGACTTGTGCTATCCCTTTGTAAACTTTTCCACCATAAAATGTTTTGTAACATTGTCCAAGGAGGTGAGAAAATATTCAAACCAATAAAAGTGAAGGTTTATAAATCATATATGTATGACTTTGCAAAAGCCAACATCGAACCCACACAAAGTACACAGAAATATCACTGTCAGGTTGGCAAAACTTTCAGCAGATTATGCATGAAGTGGCAGAACGAAATGAATAAAAGTTTTAGTGATTTCAAACTTCAAGCAGATGAAACCCCAAAATAGGTGACAAGAGGTGCCCTGAGTCATCAAACATAGATAGTTTAATGACACTAAACAGTCTCAATGGTCAGTAGGGAGTGATGTACAAGATTTAATTCATCACCCACTCATCCACCCACCTATTATCCCATCCAATCCTCATCCATTCATCCAGCCACCCATCAGCCCATCCTCCCACCTACCCACTTAGACAGGTTGAGAAAGGCATCCTATGGAAAACAAAGGAGAACAAGTGGGTCTTCAGTGCAGGGATGATTTTGCAGCCACTTAGTAGTGTGCTGTGGGCTCTGTTTCTCTTTCCTGATGACCCGCATCTACCCATCTCTACATTAGGCAGGTGCCAGACACTGTGTGAGGTGCCAAGGAGAAAAGATGAATAAGATGCAGTACCTGCTTTCATGGTTCCAGAAGCAAAAGAGAGTTTTCAGACTTTTCAATCTGGTCTCTACTCTGAGGCTCCATTCTCAGAGAAGGTGGAAATAAGCAGTACCAAATCACTAAGTCCTGAAAAGACTCTCAGTGGGTGGCATCCAGATGGCCTAGAGACCTAGTTGGGCTTGGTTGCATACAGTAGAGATGAGAACTCATCCAGCTACAGCCATTGAATATTTTCTCTGAAAAACAAAAGGTGGGTTCTTTGGGATTCCAAAAATACAAACTATTTTGTGGGAGAGAACATATGAAACAGCCAAGGAACATTTTCATAGCATAATAAGCTCACAATTTGCATTAAAAACAGTCAGTGCTTTTTATGGCTGGTATAAATTATTTCACCTCATTTTCTAGAAAAGGAAGAACTAGAATTGAGGAAAGCAAGTCCAGACTAAAGAAGCTTACCTTCAGCTCAGAAAAGGGAAGGTTCTTGCCTCCCTACCCACAATGGAGTGCATATTTCAACATAGTTTTCAGACCACAGTGAATTCTTTTGGCTTACCACCTGCTATGCTTCGCCCCCATGCTCCTTTTAGTTTAGAGGCCAGGCTCAGAGTCCTGTAAATAATACTAACCCGGTGCTAACCTCCTACACACCAAGCATTCCTGCCATCCCTAAATCCTGAGCGGAAGTGCATGTCCTTCAGCTTCCTTTACTCAGATCTTATTTCCTTTCTGGACAGAACATTCTCCTCCTCTGGCCACCCCTCTCCTCTACCCCCACTTTGAAGGATAAACTTCATCAAATCTCTTTCAAATCCTAGTGGTCTGGGGGCCTCATTATTAGTGCCAAAGCACATCTTCTTGTGCGTGTCGAGCATAATATCTTGCACATAGTAGGTCCTCAATAATTTGTTAAAAGCAAGGGAGGGACACCTGAGTGGCTCAGTCGGTTAATCGTCTGCCTTCAGCTCAGGTCATGATTCTAGGGGCTTGGGATCAAGTCCCACATTGGGCTCCTTGCTCAGCAGGGAGCCTGCTTCTCCCTCTGCCTGCCTCTCTCCCTGCTTGTGCGCTCTCTCTCTCTCTGACAAATAAATAAATAAAATCTTTAAAAAAAATAAAAGCAAGGAAAAGGCGGATGGTGGGGAGAGAAGGATGGGAGGAAGAAGGAAGGATGGAAGGGAGAGAGTAAGGGAAAACAGAGAATAATATAGAAAGGAAAGGCAGAGAAAACAATTATTTTATAAGGACCCGATGTTCCCACCCAACAATGAAACAGTCCCTTGTCCTCCTTAGGAAATGACCTAAGCATACTGCTGAGGTTTCTTTTCAGGGACATAACTTTCATGAAACAAATTAATCTATTGGAGTTACTGGTTCAAAGTGATGGTTCTCTGTTTTCTCATACTCTGGGGGCCAGACTGAGCTGTTCACTGTTACAATAAAATAATAGCCACACGCAAACATGCACACATTAATTTTCAGGAAATCTTTAAATGAACAGCAAGAGTGTTCTTAATTTTAACCCTTTCTCCAGCACACATGGAGGTGGAGTTCTCACATATGTTGTCACGTGCTCATAGAGAACGAAGCAGATGAACACACAACAACCACCAAAAAGTCAAGTGAAGTTCCCAGAAATGGAATTTCTTGTAAATATTTAACCACCAGCATAAGACACAATCAGTTGTTTCTATTTCATCTGATGCAGAAAATCTGTATTGCATCATGTTCACAAGGAGTACCAGTGCATTCCCATTTTAGCAGCCATTCCTCAGTGTGAGGAATTCCAACACCACAGCAGGCTCACCTGGGGATAAATGGGTTTGCACAGAGGAGCTCTTGCAGGTGGGCCTCAAACCACATCAGTGCACATACTCCTCTCTCACCTTGGGCGGCTCAGTGCTTAGCATGGCAATACTGCAAAAAGCAATGAATTAAAGAATAAGACCACTTTGAGCAATTATAAAGGAATTTTAAAAAATAAACCGAGTAGGGGTGCCTGGGTGGCTCAGCTGTTAAGTGTCTGCCTTTGGCTCAGGTCATGATCCCAGGGATCGAGCCCCGCATCGGGCTCCCTGCTCAGCGGGAAGCCTGCTTCTCC